TCTCTGGCTATGATAACAACTGGTACCTCAGCCAGAATGAGGCCACCCTGACCTGCGACGCTCGCAGCAACCCAGAGCCCACAGGCTACAACTGGAGCACGTGAGTCCTGGGTTTCAGGGAGGAGGGGCTGGGGGTGTGGATTTGTGGGTCTGAGGGAGGAGGGGCTGGAGGCCTGGACTCCTGGGACTGAGGGAGGAGGGGCTGGGCCTGGACCCCTGGGTCTGAGGGAGGAGAGGCTGGGGGCCTGGAATCCTGGTCTAAGAGAGCAGGGGGATTCAGAAAAGAAAAAAAGGAGGTTGACTTCGGGGTCCCCCAATGGGGAGGCATCTCTGTTTTGACATCTCTGTTTTCCAGTTGAGGCGTTTAGCAGGTGGTTTAATCCTGGCTGGTGGATGCACCTGCTCTTGGGCTGTGCCTGCTTTGTGCCCGGTACTTCCCCTGAATCCCACGTGACCCCATGCTGTGCAGAGTCAGCAGCTGTTGTCATGCCCAGGTTAAAGACCAGCCACGAGAGGGCAGAAGCGGCCCTTGAATCAGCCCTGGCTCCAAAGCTGGTCCTCCGCCTCTTGGCCAAGCTTGTCTAACCTGCAGGCCGCATAGTTTGTAAACTTTCTTAAAACATTATGAGATTTTTTTTGCAAATTTTTTTTAGCTCATCAGCTATCATTAGTGTTAGTGTATTTTATGTATGGCCCAAGAGAGTTCTTCTTCCAGTGTGGCCCAGGGAAGCCAAAAGATTGGACACCCCCACTCTAGACTGTAACCACCTCACCGTCACCTTGTGTTACCTACTTGGTTATCTCTGGATGGAGCAAGTACTATCCTCATTGTCTAGATGAGAAAGTTGAGGCTCACAGCAATAAGATTTCTCCAGATTCATACTGAAACTGGGGTCAAGAGCAGGATGAGGAAAAGGCAAAGGGATAATACAAAATTTTATAATACATAATTTTACTGAACCGCCTTTTTTTCTTTTTTTTAAGAAGGGGCTCTGTCACCCAGGCTGGAGTGCAGCGGTGTGATCATAGCTCACTGCAGCCTAGACCTCCCTGGGCTCAGGTGATCCTCCCGCCTCAGCCTCCTGAGTAGCTGGGACTACAGGCACACGCCACCATACTCAGCTAATTTCATTGTATTTTTTTGCAGAGACAGGGTTTCACCACATTACCCAAGCTGGTCTCCAACCCCTGGGCTCAAGCAGTCAACCCACCTCAGCCTCCCAAAGTGCTGGGATTGCAGGTGTGAGCCACCTCGCCCAGCCTTACGTCTTTTTCCTTATTACAAAAGTAACTTGTGTCCACTGTAGAAATATCAACCAAATTAGTTATGAGAAAAAAGAATAAAGAAGCACCTATAGTCAAGTGTACCCAGCCACCTCCAGAAATACCCAGTGACCACTTATTATACATCCTTCTGTCTTTTTTCTCTGTTTCTAAACAAAGACTGGAATTATGCTATACATATAGTTTTGAAACTTTTCCTGTATCTTGTGAATACCTTCCCATGTCAAAGCACAGAGATCCACACTCCATTTTCCCCCACGTTGTATTAGGAAGACTGTCAAACATACAGAAAAATCGTAGGAATTTTCCAGTGAACACTTAAGATTCCACCACGTGAATTCCCCCACTAACATTTTACTGTGCTTGCTTTATCATGTTTCTGTGATTCCTTCGGTCCCTCCATTCATCCATCAATCATGTTATGCACTTCAGAGCACCCCCAGATCCCCTGTTTTTTGTTTGTTTGTTTGTTTGTTTGTTTGTTTTTTGAGACAGGGCCTCACTCTGTTGCTCAGGCTGCAATGCAGTGGCACAATCACAGCTTACTGCAGCCTTGAACTCCTGGGCTCAAGTGATCCTCCAGCTTCAGCCTCCCAGATAGCTGGGACTACAGGCACACACCACCACGCCTGGCTAACCTGGCCCCTTTTTCAATGTTGCTGGGATTCCATCACTTTAATAAAAAAAAAAAATTTTTAAGAATAGAGACAGGATCTCACTATGTTGCCCAGGCTGGTCTTGAACTCCTGTACTCAAGCAGTCCTCTCGCCTGGGCCTCCCAAAGGGCAGGGAAGGGATT